CCTGGGACTTCAGCGGCACGAATCAACGTGACTCCTGCGCCCTGGCCATCCTAAATCTTGGCAGAGCACCGTTTCTGCGACGTCAGCCACTAGTATCGTTATACTCGGGGTAAAGCTTTTAAGACGAATGTGCGCGGCGCTGCGGCGAGAGCCACATTTTGAAAAGGACTACCCTCCATCCTTGAAGCTGGAGCGGGCTTTTAGAACGAATGTGCGCGGTGCTGATGCGAGAGCCACATTTTGCATAGAAGCCGCCCTACAGTGCATTTGTTTAAGACGAACGTGCGCGTCGCTACGGCGAGGGCCGCATTTTGAAACTGAGCCGCCCTCGCTCTTCGAAGCTGCTGCACGTTGTTCCGACGAGTGCGCGCGTCGCCCAGGCGAGCGCCACATTCTGAACAAGAACCGCCCTCCATCTTTTACGCGGTTGCAGATGCTGAAGACGAGTGCGCGCGGTGCGCAGGCGGCAGTCGCATTTTGAAATCGACCCGCCCTCCATCCGTGGAGCTCTTGTAGTTGTTTAGACCAGTGTGCGCGGGGTCATGGCGAGAGCCACGTTCTGAAAATGGCCCGACCTCAAGTCGTGGAATCGCTGCAAGGTCAAAGCTTCAGGACAACAAAGGGGGGAGGAAGTCTCCGGCGAAACGCACGGTCCGCCCTACCGACGCGTCTCGGAATGCAGCAGGGAGGAGCTAGTTATAATGAAAAGGAATGGAGAAGGACGGGTGGCCTTCTTGGTCACGTATCCAGCTGCCTGCAGTAAACCCGGGCACCGTGCCTGTGCACAGCGTAGCAGGAAGAAGTTGGAATGCTCAACGATTTGCGTCTGCCCACCAGCCCATCCAGGAACGATGCCCGGGGGAATTGCCCTTCTCTAGAGAGCGTGGCATCATTTGGAGAGCTCGGGGGGCCTCCGTGGGCCAGAGGCTCTTTGGGTACTTTGTGAAGTCTCTTGGGATGCCTTTCGGGATCTGTTGAAGGCCTCTTGGGGTGTTTGGGGGGCCTCCTGGCGGCTCTCTTGGGGGCCTTTTGGGGCTCCTTCGGGGTTCTTCGAAGCCTCTTAGGACGTTTCGGGGACTCCTTGGCGGTCTTCAAAACTTTTGGGGCGCCTGGGTGTCTCTTGGGCGCCTCTTGAGGCCTCTTGGGGGCCGCTTGGGGCACTCGTGGAGCCCTCTTGGGAATCTCTTTGGAGCATCAAGGGGGCCTCTTGGGCCTTTTTGGGCGCCCCATCAAGGGGGCCTGTTTTGATTCCCCTCCCCGAGCGGGTTGTTTTGGCCTCCCTGCGGTGGGCATAGCTTCAGACCCTCATTGTTTCAGATGTAACTCATAATGAAAATGTACCCAAAAGCGGTTCCGTGGAGGGGGGTCAGGGTCAGTTTTCTGAGGGCGCGCGCGATGATGGGGGTGGTGGCCGGCCCTAGACAACATGAATCAATCTTGCCAAGCAACAGAAGAGCATTACACGCCCGCTCCGTGCAGGCACGGTGGCTGGTAACGTTTCATGTTGGATGGGAAAGGTCAAGTGTGAAGAAAGCATCGGGCAAAAACGCAAGGCAAAAACACTACGCAAAATCATTGCGCTCAGCGCGTTCGTGGTGAATTTGCCACTGCGCTGAATCACGACGCAACGATACCACCTGGGGCGATCCTGGGGCGCTCCTGGGTGCCCAGGCGACTACCTACGCAAATGCCGCGAATATCATAGCATCTGCAATGGCCTCGACGGAGGCCACTACAACGCTGCATGTGTGAACGTCTCGAGCACGGCAGGATTTTTGCTCGAGGCCAAGAACTTGTCGTGCGGCGCTTTCCGGCCCCGTGCAGACAGGCAAAAACGGATATCGCCGAGTACCTCAACATTTGCAGCCCTGGTACTGTTCCGTAGATTTGCAAAGCCTTCTTACGCTTTTGTTCCCCAGCCCTCCTGCGTTGGGTTCTCGTTTTGAATAGAGCGCTGCGGTCTCCGTCCTCTCCCGCCCTCTCCTCATCTCCTCCCTCCTCCTCTGCTCTATTGCCTTCTGCCTCCTCGCCTCGCCGTCCTACGTCACCTCGCCATCCCTGGGGAGCGATCTGTGAAACTGTTGCCACTTTCGAGGGCTGCTGGTGGGTCCAGCGGAGTGAGGCACCACCCAGATCCATATTAGACCTCGACATCCCTGGGGGGTGCGATATGTGAAATTGTCGCCACGTTGGAAGGCTGCTGGGGGGTCCAGCAGAGCGAGGCACCACCCAGATTCAGATTAGACCTCGCAATCCCTGGGAGGCTGCGATCTGAGAAACTGCCGCCACTTTCGAAGGCTGCTTGTGGGTCCATCGGGGTGAGGCACCACCCAGATTCGGATTCGACCTCGCCATCCTTGGGTGGTTGCGATCTGCGAAACGGTCGCCACTTTCGAGGGCTGCTGGTGGTTCCAGCGGAATAAGGCACCACCCAGATTCAGGCTAGACTTCGACTGCGATCTGCGAAGCTGTCGCCACTTTCTAGGTTTGCTGGGGAGTCCAGAGGAGTGGCGCCTTACGCGGACTCAAATTAGACCTCGGTGTCCCTGGGAGGCTGCGATCTGAGAAACTGCCGCCACTTTCGAAGGCTGCTTGTGGGTCCATCGGGGTGAGGCACCACCCATATTCAGATTATACCTCGCAATCCCTGGGAGGCTGCGATCTGCGAAACGGTCGCCACTTTCGAGGGCTGCTGGTGGGTCCATCGGAGTGGCGCGCTACGCAGATCCAGATCAGACCTCGCCATCCTTGGGTGGTTGCGATCTGCGAAACGGTCGCCACTTTCGAGGGCTACTGGTGGGTCCAGCGGGGTGAGGCACCATCCAGATTCATATTAGGCCTCGGCATCCCTGGGAGCTGCGGTTTGCGAAGCTGTCGCCACTTTCGAAGCCTGCTGGTGGGTCCATCAGAGTGGCGCGCTACGCAGATCCAAATTCGACCTCGGCATCCATGGGTGGTTCCGATCTGCGAAACCGTCGCCACCTTCGAAGGCTGCTGGGGGGGCCAGCGGAGTAGGGTCCCACGCAGATTCAGATTAGAATTCGTCGTCCCTGGTGGGGCTGCGATCTGCGAAGATGTCGCCACTTTCGAGGGCCGTTGGGGTGTCCAGCGAGTGACGCACATTCAGATTCGACCTCGTCATCCCTGGGGGGCTGCGATATGTGAAAGTGTCGCCACGTTCGAGGTGTGCTAGGGGGGCCCAGCGGGGTGACGTCCTACGCGGACTCAGATTTGACCTCGCCATCCCTGGGGGGCTGCGATCTGCGAAACTGCCGCCACGTTCG